ATCACAAACCATTATAATAAGGGCATTTGTTGAATCTTTTTTTTTTGGTTTGTTTGGTTTTTTTTTTTTGACAGAGTCTCACTCTGTTGCCCAAGCTAGAGTGCAGTGGCACGATCTTGGCTCACTGCAATCTCTGCCTCCTGGGTTCAAGCAGTTCCCCTGCCTCAGCCTCTGGAGTAGCTGGGATTACAGGTGCCTGCCACCACGCCTGGGTATTTTTTGTATTTTAGTGGAGACGGTGTTTCACTGTGTTGGTCAGGCTGGTCTCGAACTCCTGACCTCAAGTGATCTGCCCGCCTCGGCCTCCCAAAGCCAGGGATTACAAGCATGAGCCACCAGGCCTGGCCCATTTGTTGAATCTTTTAATGACTCTTTTTGTTGAGGTGTTAAGTAAGTTACTTAAGTAAGGTTGACTGTCTATCCCTGATGTGAAATTTGAAACCTGAAATGCTCCAAATTCTGAAACTTGTTGAGCACTGACATGATACTTAAAGAAAATATGCATTGGAGCATTTTGGATTTTGGATTTTTGGATTAGGGGGTGCTGAACCAGTATAATACAAATATTCCAAAATCTAAAATAATTTGAAATCCGAAATACTTCTAGTCCCAAGCATTTCGGGTAAGGGATAGTCACTTGCAGTGTATTATTTTGCTTTTATATTGGAGCTTCCTATGAGAGCAAGAAACTGATTGTATTTGTAAGTCCAGCTGACTTCTTCTTGCCCTTTGGATTCAGTTGAAAATTACTTTCTAGGATGATTGGTAGGTTCATTTGCCCCAGAATCATTAAAAAATAGTTTTCTGGGCCGGGCACAGTGGTTCACACCTGTAATCCCAGCGCTGTGGGAGGCCAAGGCGGGTGGATCACCTAAGGTCAGGAGTTTGAGACCAGCCTGGCCAACCTGGTGAAACACCGTCTCTACTAAAAATACAAAAATTAGTTGGGCATTGTGGCGGGTGCCTGAAATCCCAGCTACCTGGGAGGCTGAGGCAGGAGAATCACTTGAACCTGGGAGGCAGAGGTTGCAATGAGCCGAGATTACACCATTGCACTCCAGCCTGGGCAACAGAGTGAGACTCTGTCTCCAAAAAAAAAAAAAAAAAAAGTTTTCTTGTGCAGCGACAATAGTAACTTTATAACCATAGCACACAATAAATTTTTCATATGCCTTTACTTTTCCTTAAACCATGTAAATTTTCCATTACCTTCAGGGACTGTGTCATGGTACCAATGGCATTTCTTTTCCTTTTTTTGTAGCAAATAATTGAAGAAATTATCTAAGATACTTATTTAGTCGTTGAAGAATACAGTGGCTATCTAGTGACTGGCTTTTCTTTCAAGAAAAGAGGTCTGGAAACCAAAGGGAAGTTAAAGTGAAACAGGCCTCTATTCTGTCTTATTCCCTACTGAGCTTGTGTATCAAGTTACTCATATTTTAGGCAAGTCCACCAACATAGCTGCATCTGCCGTGCCGCACTGAGGTCTTTCTCTGAGGTATCACACATCTGCATAGATATAATTGGTCATTTTAATTGTGAATCATATCGCAAGGGTACCGGAGGTTGGTTTTTCCCAAGGACAGCTGCACTGTTCCTTGTGTAACTTCCTTTACTTTAATGTATGAGTCATAGCTCAGTGTATTATATGATACATGTGTGTACATTTTACTTAGTCTACTATATGAGTCACATGCGTGACTGTTCTCACAATTGAGTTTTCTCATTCTTTAGTAGTGTGCTGGATAGTTCTGTTAGTGAGCATGAGTAAATGGAATGTTTCAGTTTACTGGAGGTTTCTTTACCAGTCGTTTGACTTGTGTGTTTTAGAATTTTATAATTCAGATTCGAAGGGTTCACTTCTAACAAATTAACAAAACTAGATTGCAAAACTTGTCTAATTGAGTGAACATTTAAACCATTTTAAGGGTTCGCTCCATCTCTCTCCTACTGTACTCCCTCCCCGCTCCACCAAAATAAAAAAGGAATATGCTTAGGTTCAGTATCTGGTTAGATTCTTGCAAGCAAAAAGATTTTACCGTACATCTTCCTTGATTATTATTGTTCTTATGAATCTAGTAAGATTATAAGGCTACATTTTAACTTCAAAAACCTGAAGACATTCTGGGGACCCAAAAGCCATCTAGTTTAATTTATTATTAAGACTTGATTGATGAAAATTAACATTTTTAATTGTTACGTCTTTCTGGGAAGATAAAGATAGATTATAGTTAAGTGTATAAAAGTGTTGTTTAAAGTGATTTTTAATAGTATTATATTCAGAGGCCCAGGAAACAGTTATCTAAACTGGATTGAAACTCAAATTGTTAAAAACAGATTTCTGTTTATTATTATTCACTTTGGTTTACTCCGATCATTCATTCAACAAATACTGATCAAGTGCTTTCTATTTGCCAGGTTTTCTAGGTGAAGATCCTTATTCTTCTGGTGCTTACATTCCACTAAGAGGATATAGTATGTCAGAAGGTGATAAATGCTATGGAAAGTAGAAAAAGTACAGAGTAAGGGAGATAGAGAGAGCTCGGGTCAGTGTAGGGTAGAGAGGGCAGTTTACAATTCAAAATAGAGTGGTTAGCTGGGTGCGGTGGCTCATGCCTGTAATCCCAGCACTTTGGGAGGCTGAGGTGGGAAGATTGCTTGAGCCCAGGAGTTTGAGACCAGCCTGGGCAATGTAGCGATACTTCATCTCTACAAAAAATTTTTAAAAAATTAGCTGGGCATGGTGGTACACACCTGTTGTCCCAGCTACTTGCGAGGCAGAGGTGGAAGGATTGCTTGAGCGCAGGAGATCAAGTCTGCGGTGAGTTGAGATTGTGACAGTGCACCCCAGCTGGTTTGATAGAATGAGATCCTGCCTCAAAAATAAATAAATAAATAAATATGTGTGTATATATATAGTTAAGTTAAAAACCCATAAAATATAGTGGCCATGGTAAGCCCCATTGAGAAAGTAACAACTGAATAAAAGACATGATAAGGGGATTGGCCATCTGGGGAAGAAGTGTTCAGGAAGAAGAAAGCCAGCACAAATGCCCTAAGACAGCAGCATCCCTGGCATGCCTGAGAAATTTAAGGGAGCCAGAGTGGCTACAGCAGAGTGATTCTAGGGAGAATGTAGTAAGAAATGACCAGACTATCTTGGGCCATGTAGACCAGTGGTGAGATGGGGAGCCATGGGAGGGATTTGAGCAAGAAGGGTGACATGATATTTTATTTTAAACCATCACTGGCTGCTACGTTGAGAATAGACTGCACAGGGAAACTAGTGTTGATAATAGACTTGGGGGAGGGGAAGCAATTATTGCAGTAATCCTAGCAAGAGATCATAGTGGTCAGAGAAGTAGTAGATGTGCTGAGAAGCCAGATTCTGAAATTTGTGAAGGTAGAGAAAATAGTTTTTCCTGATATATTTAATGTGGTGTGGGAAAGAATGGGTATTGCTCTGAGCAAGTGCACATATAGAGTTGTCATCAAATAAGGTGGGGAACCCTTTGGATGGAACAGATTGGATGGGGAGAGAGGTTGGGTGTTTGGTTTTGTATGTTTGCTTTGAGGTATCTGTTAGTCTTCCTAATGGAAATGTAGAATGAGCAGTTGGAGATATCAGTCTTGGGTTCAAGCTAGCATTCTGAGTTAACATTTACATAGCATTATATAGTATTTATGTTGTTTTATAGTAAATATAAATATATAACATTCTTTAAATTTTCTTCTCTTGAAATAGTGACAATTGATTATTGATTTTCTTTACTACTAGAAGCTGTTTCCTGTTTTAAGAATGTATAAACTTAACATCACTTAAATTGTAAATTTTAAATGAAGGTTGATTAATACGTTTTAACAAATGCTATGTATTAAGCCTGTAAAATAAAAATTATCACTTTTTTTTTCTTTTTTCTTTTTTTTTGAGATGGAGTCTCGCTCTGTTGCCCAGGCTGGAGTGCAGTGGTGCCATCTTGGCTCACTGCAAGCTCTGCCTCCTGGTTCACGCCATTCTCCTGCCTCAGCCTCCTGAGTAGCTGGGACTACAGGCGCCTGCCACCTCACCCAGCCAATTTTTTGTATTTTTAGTAGAGACGGGGTTTCATTGTGTTAGCCAGGATGGTCTCGATCTCTTGACCTCGTGATCCGCCCACCTCGGCCTCCCAAAGTACTGGGATTACAGGCATGAACCACCGCGCCTGGCAATTATCACTTATTGATGAACACATGGCAAAAATACCAAATTCTTTAAAAGATCATTAGAGTTTATTTTGTACAATCTCTAAATAATAATTTTCTCTCATCACATAAATTAATACGAAGTGTCTTTTTGTGTTAGTCCTAGTGGAATTCTGAAAACGAGAACTTCTGTTTTTGTTTGTTTGTTTTTTGAGACAGAGTTTCGCTCTTGTTGCCCAGGCAGGAGTATGGTGGCACAATCTGGGCTCATTGCAACCTCCGCCTCCTGGGTTCAGGAGAGTCTCCTGCCTCAGCCTCCCAAGTAGCTGGGATTACAGGCATGAGGTACCATGCCCGGCTAATTTGGTATTTTTTTTAATAGAAATGTTGTTTCACCATTTGGTCAGGCTGATCTCGAACTCCTGACCTCATGTGATCCACCTGCCTCGGCCTCCTAAAGTGCTGGAATTACAGGCATGAGCCACCGTGCCTGGCCAAGAAGTTCTTGTTTGTAAAGTGTTTGGGCTTAATTTACTAAAAATCACTAAAATATTCCAGGGGTGTGTGTGTGTGTGTGTGTGTGTGTGTGTCTTTGTCTTTCAAGAGAAACTTACTATTCTAGGAAATCACACTGATCATTTATTCTTAGTGATTATATTTTTTGTGTGACTTTTATATATATATAATGAATAAACAATGACTTCTTTTAAGTTAGTGATACTATAAAGAAAATGGTTGTTATGTCATTCAGACATATTGACTCAGAGTGTTCAATATTTTATTGAAAAAGACTGTTTCATTTGTTTCACTCTGTTTAGAAAAGGAAGACCAGTGCCTCATGCCTGAAGCCTGGAATGTGGACCAGGGAGTAATTACCAAACTCAAGGAACAATACAAAAAGGAGAGAAAGGGGAAAAAGGGGGTGAAGAGTAAGTGGAAAACATTGTATCTGTAAATCATAAATCTTGCCTCTTTACATCCCCCAGTGTTTTTTTTCAATGTTTTCCTAAAACTACTTACTCTTTTTCATTTCTGCTCCTGACCTCTTTCCTTTTCACCTGCTCTCAGGGGTTGAAATTAAATGATTAGCTATTTAATTATGAACTTAAAAGAAAACAACCCACATGTACTTATGGAATCATGTATACTGTATCCCAATAATAAATCCAGAGCCTCATGAGTATTGGGCTGTGTATTCAAACACAGTGATAATTTGGTTTTTAAAAGTACCTGTGCTTGTATTAACAGTGTTTTTTGTTTTTTTTTTTTTTCAGTAACAATTTATAACTCATTTAGTGTGAACCTCTGGCAATCCACCAAAATTATTGCTTATAATTTTAGACATTGGTGACAGAAAGAAAGTTAATTTCTACCCCTGAATGTTCTATGTGTTCATAACATGCAGTTCATTTACTCATAGCACTATATGCTATACAGGGCACAGTCAAATATATAACTTCTAAAAATATTTATTTTCTATTTAAACATTTTTGACCAGTTTTATTTATAACATTATTACCAATTACCTTTTTTCCTTTTTAATGAAATATGTGCCGCATCAAAAACAAAAGCCAGAAGGAAATTTCTAGCCCTGTGAATCATATATGTTTAATTATTTCATTATGCAAATTATTTAGCAATGAATCTAGTTAAGAATGCAAAATGGAAATACAAAAACTTGCAAACCATTCCTGAAAACAGTCTTAAATCATCTTAGGGGAACAAGGCTAAACTACCTCCTTGTGTTTCTACCCTCACTGATAATATGGGCCTCCCTTTTATGGCAATAGGAATTTGATTATTTGAAATATTTAGGTAGTATCAAGTGAGATTAAAATCTAACTTAGTGAGAAATGTATTTTAACGTTGCGAAACACTGGAAAGATGTGCTTTTTCTTTTTCTCTCTCTGTAGTGATGCTAAAGCTTATTAAAGACCATCATTCCTGTTAGGACATTCTTTTAAACTTAAAACATTACTTAAAAGCATTTAAACCTTTATTTAAAATATTTTAGAATTTACAAGTGTTTAGCTTGATTTGATAAACAGTCAGTGTTATTGATGTTAAAACGTAGTATCAACCATTACATAATGAGAGATGATGTTGTTTAATGCTATCTCAATATAGATTAAAATCAGAATGAGAAAGATTGATATTAAAACATAAGCACGTTTCGTACCTTTTAGCCAAATATACTTACTGATAGACAATTTAATCTTAACAAGCATAGGGAGATGATTTGTCATGGCTTTTGAGTCATGTCAAAAAACCAGTTAAACTGAAATTTTGAGGAAAATTTGGATATCATATGTGAGAAATAATTTCCAGATTAACTTAATGTTGATGTATTTCTTTAGGTCATTATGCTACAAAAATGAATGTCTTGAAATATAAAAGATCTTTTAGTTGGAAAGGTAACCAGGACTTATTCTCAATCCATCTACTTTTCCATTGATTATTCAGTTCTTGTCAAATACCAAGGCATTGCTGTAGTTGGAATTTAGCACTTAACTGAAACTGCACCATTTGACTGGAACAATATTCCTACTAATAGAAGCAATTGGATTTCTTAAATCGGGAGATTACAGTGTGTTCAGACATCTAGCATATGGTTTTTTTAGTATGGTGAAGAAAAATGACACTGTAAGGGAGAAATTTTTAACATCTTTCATTGAAGAGAGAGGGACTACACATTTTAGCACATTTTATTTAATGTCTTCAGTTCATGTTATCTTGATAAAAATAGCAGTCTGGGAACAAGTAAAGACTTAGGATAAAAATAGAACTGAAGCCATGCTTTGAATTGATATAAAGCATTGACTTATAAACCATCATGAAGTTGTTTTTTTTTTAATTGAACTCTTACTCATTGGAAAAGTTTGAGTCTTTTCAATGTGGTCTAGTAGAGATATTTCCAGTCAAATCATGTACTCCAGTCATACCATCTTGAAATACATTTCTAGGCATTAGTTTAAATTGCTTAAAAATAGTTATATTCTTTGCTGGTATAGGAAAAAACTGTAACAGACTTTGGGTAAGATTTTCCCATTCTTAATTAAACTTATAACAGGAAAAACTACTGAAGATCTGTTTCAGCCTCTATCCTATATAAAACAGTCAAAACAGGGATGTGGGAGAATGAAGAATCAAAGTTCAGGTAAGTAATCAGTAGGGCATGAGACTTCACCTCGGGTACCATAGCTTCAGGATGTAAGGCAATTAATGCAACTTAATTTAAACAAACAGGGATGTTATTGTTTAATTCAGTGCACAGTAGGCTCACAATCTGTATCTGGCTGCATTTAGAGCAATATTCAGTGGTTAAAGAATATTTTTCATGGTCTGACTGGACATGAGCATTCTTTTTTATGTAAATAGTGATATTATCCCATTTGCTTAATTTAAACAGTATAATTCTTTTCAAGAAATAATAAACTTTTACAATAATTTGAAAACTTGAAAATACTTATTAATCTAGTGGAATATTTTTAAAGGTAAATATTGACGGATGGAAAATAAGGCTTATGATACCATTTTGAGGCAGTTGGATAATTCTCTTTTTTCTTTTTTATCTCCCCCTCCCCCCACTTTTTTTGGCTAGGGCCCAATAGGTCAAAACTCCAAGATATGCTTGCTAATTTGAGAGATGTTGATGAACTTCCTTCATTGCAGCCATCTGTGGGTTCACCTTCCAGACCCAGCAGCTCCAGGCTTCCTGAACATGAAATTAATAGGGCAGATGAAGGTAAGTATTTAAGATACTCTGGAGCACAAAATGCACTTGGATGTATATCTTTAAATTCATTCATTAGAAAGGACTCTCCTATCAGAGAGAACTTTATTTTGCAGATGTTTGATCTGCATAGTTTTCCCCAAATGCAAACTTTCTTACATTCAAGGGAGTTTGATTCCAACTTCAATCGTCAAGACTTGAGAAGGTGCATACTCTTAAAAACCAACTCTAAGTTCTGGTTTAAAATATCTACTGGCTCCACTGATGCCCATGGCCCTATATATACCATTCCAACATTGGGGAAATTAACAGTCCATAAATTGGTAGTAAATGTTTACTTTGAAACTCATATAAATATTTAAGCAATTTATTAATGATAATTGAAAAAGGAGATAAAGTTACTTAAAAGTCTAGTCACATATTCTGCTATTTTAACTTGTTCCCTTTCAGTCCTGGTTCACGTGTGTGTGTGTATATGTGTGTATATATATGTGTGTGTGT